ATGCCTCCTCTGTAGCTAGAATATACAGAGAGGACCAGTGGTTTGCACACAGGCCTTGGATCTGATGCAAAGGCCTGCAGGCTTTCTAAAGATTTCCCGGCATTTCCCTATGTGCTGAATCCACATTGAAATTAGCTCTTTGCTTTTATGTTCTGAAAGTGTGTGCCCTAAGAGTCTTATGCCCAAGTTAGCCAACAATGACCCAAGGCGGAGGGTCTACTTGGTTTATCATAGTCAACAGCAAATTTATTCATGTTGGGATGAACATGCTTTAAGTGGTACAGCAGTTGTTTGTCTGTTTGCTGTAGTGAAGTAACTTGGAGTTGCTGTGATGCTTGAACACTGTGCCATAGTTGTGTCAAATACCATAATGGTTACCATTATGGACAGTGTTTGGAGGAGCTTCCAGATTGATTCTGGTTTGGAAGCAGGAGTAGTTTTCACTTCCTAAACCAGATGCCTCTGGAAACTCTATGAACATAGAGAAATTATGTTTTAATTATAGAACAGAGTTCAGGTCTTTTGTTCATAGGGTCTCTATGAGTCATTCGACTTGGTGACACTTAACCACTGCTAAGTGATACTTATTTTATTTTGGAGGAACATTCTTCTGATTTGTATATCACTCTTTGTCAGTGTGCTGTACTGAGGTAATCTGTGATGCTGAACCTTGTGCCACTGGGGTGTCAGATATCATAATGGTTTCCCAAGGTGGACAGTTGTTTGGTGGAGCTCCCAGTTGTAAAACAGGTTTGGAAGCAGGAGTGGCATCCACTTCCTAAACCACATGCCTATGGAGACTTTATGAACTTGGAGAAACGATAGTTATAGAAAGGCATTGGGTCTTTTGTTCATAGAGTCGCTATGAGCCACTCTCAATTTGATGGCAGTCAACAACAACATTTGTCACCTGTTCTGCTCACGGCCCTGGCCTGTATGCAGTTTTCAGGCAGAAGTCGGGCTTCCAGTCACTGCTCATGTCTTTAGCATCTGCACCATCAGCTTATGTCAAGTCCAGGCTCTCGGACACAGATGGCACTCAGGCAGAAATCTATCCCACTGTCACTCTGAAATCTGAAGAAGCTGTTGTCGAGGGGCTTGAGTCCAGGAGATACTTTGCATCTGCTGCTCATGGTGCTTTGGCTGGTAGGTGATGAGGGTGACCAGTGGCTGAGATTTTGTTTGCATCCCTGTCATCCGAAGTCTGGTGTCTGCTGGCCTGGGCTGTTATCATCGAGTCTGCTCCAATTCCTAGTGACCCTGTGTGGACAGAATAAAACTCTGCCTCATCATGTACCGTTCTCATGGTTGCCGCTGTATTTAGACCATTGATGATGCAGTCACTCATTCAGGTGACCCCCTCTTTTTCATTGACCTTCACCTTTTCCAGAGACTCTGCCCCTCTCCATAACAGGTCTAAAATATGTAAGTCTTACCATCCTGCTTTTAAGAAAAATTCTGGCTCTACTCTTCCGAGGCAGATTTGCCCATTCTCCTCGTGGTTTATGGTTTATTCAGCGTTCTTCTCCAGCCCCGTAATCCAGGTACATCAGTTCCTCCTCAGATTTCCTTATTCACTAATCAGCTTTCATATGTGCATGAGATGATTGAAAACACCATGGGAGACGGATCTTGGCTCAAAGCAGAGACTTCCTGAACCATGTGTGCCTTTGTTTTATTGGCTAAGCACTTAGATATGTCTGTCATAACAAATTATGGACAACATTGCAAAGGATGGGAATTCCAGAACATTGAATTGTGATCATGTGTGGCTTGGTCACAGACCAAGAGGCAGTTATTTGAGCAGAACTAGTGGGTACCGCATGGTTTAAAATCATGAAAGGTGGACATTGGCATTGTATTCTTTTCACTGTGCATATTCAGTCTGTATGCTGGGCGACTCTTGTTTGCTGGACTGTATGAAGAAGAATCCAGCGTCAGGATTAGAGGAAGACTCATCAACAACCTGTGACATGCAGCTGGCACTGCCTTGCTTGTTAATATGGGCCAGCTCTATTCTCTGCTGTTTCTCTTATTGAAGGACTACAGATGCTCTCAGCGTCTTCTGAGAAGCACTCTGAATCCATCCACGTGGCCAGCATCTCAGCACTGGTTTTTTTATTGTGTGCCTTCAAGTTGGAACCAACTCGTGGCTGACCCTCCAGCAGGTTTTCAGAGGCAGTAAATCTCACAGGAGAAGATTGCCATCCTCCTGTGGATTTGAACCATAGAAGGAGAATTGATGCCTTTAAGCTGTGGTGCTGGAGAAAAGTACTGAATGTACCATGGACTGCCAAGAAAACAAACAGACTCATCCTGGAGAGGGTTAAACCAGGCTGCTCCTTGGAGGCAAGGATTTTGGGGCTTCTTCTGACATACTTTGGACATGTTGTAAGGAGGGACAGGTCCTTGGAGAGGGACATCATGCTTGGGAGGGTGGAGGGATGGCACAAGAGGGGAAGACTCTTTATGAGGTGGATTGATTCAGTGACTGGGGTAATTGGGATGGGTGTGTCAGAGGCGGTGCGATTGGCACAGGACAGAACAGAGTTTAGGGCTGTTGTACATAGGGTTGCTATAAGTTGCGAGCGACTCAACAGCACATAACAACAACAACAACCCTTTGGGATTGCAGCACAGCCTCTTACCACCAGGGCACCAAAGCTCCCTCAACATTGGTTTAGGCTCCTTGAATTCTGCTGCTTTTGTGAAGGGCACTGCTAAGGAACCCAATAGATGGTTTAGTTAAGAAAGTCAGTCATCATTATCTTCTCTACGGCCCAGGACTGTTTGTCTCAGAGGCTGGAAGAACAAGGACTCCTCCCCAGCACTTGTTAATTGCCATTGAGTTAATTCTGACTCATGGGACACTGTGTGCCAGAGGACAGTCCTCGTTCACTGGTTTGCAACTTTGTGGCCAAAAGCAAATTGCCAGGTATGCCTTCCCAGGCCCCTCAGGGTAGCTTCCAACTTCCAACCTTCCAGATCGTAGTCAAATACTTAACCATTTGGACAAACCAGAAGGAACCTCACAGGACACCTTTTGTTGTTTGTTCAGTGCCATTGAGTTGAGAACGGCTCATAGCCACCCTTTGACAACCGATCTGAACCCTGTATTGTGAAAATTTGTTCAAGCGTAGCATGCTTTATCTGCAAGAGCGTGGTTTAGACTTCGGAGGGGTGTTGGGATCCTGGTTTATGCCTTTGTTAAAGCGGGTACATACTGCATGCTTTAGCATTACCATGATTCCCACCCTTTGGCTCTAGAGCGTCAGGGAAGAGCAGGCCTCGGCCTCGGTGTAAAGAAAGCTCAGGGGAGTAGAGAAGTGAATTCAATCAAATTGAAGGTAGTTTAGATGAAGGTAGTGAGTGTTGAGGAGGTGGACGGGCTAACTCTCCTCAGATGTTCCGTGCTGCAGTCACATTCACTCAGTGAATCTCACCCATTCAGTGACCCAGCAGGCATTTATCCAGGGCAGCCCCTTGGGAGAATGATGGGCCTTCTACTCTGTTGCAGTTTATAACCTCCTGAAGACCCACTGAATGGAGGGTCAGCTGTGAGCCAGTGCTGATTCAGCAGCGTTGCGTTGGTTTTGAGTTGGTCATACATGTGGCGTCCCTGGGCGGTGCAGATGGTTCACTCACTCATGATTAGCTGAAACGTGGAGGTTTCTGAAGTGTCTTGGAAGAAAGGCCTCATGGTCTCCTGAAAACTCAGCCCCCGACAAGCACTGTGGAGCACAGTCTGCTGTGGCACGTGAGGCTGTCACAGGTCAGACCTGACTTCACCTCCACCGTGTGGGTTTTCTGGGACATCCACATACATTGCAACTATTTATTGGAAAACTGGTTTCTCAGTTCTTGAGGGTGAAGTCTCCGACCTCCACAGTAGACTAGCAGAGAGCTTCCCTGAGGAGGTTAGGGTGAGCGCTAGGGGGACAGGAGGGGTCTGATGGCTTGGCTCTAAGCCCGTGTCATCCTGCTGTTTGCGGTCCCAGGATTGGGGTGGGGAGGTGGCGGTGCAGAGGGCACATGTATGTTTATACAGTCTGTGCGCCGCCTAGATTTATTATCAAGCAGGGTTCTTTTCACTCTTCTGCCCTTGTCTTTCTCAAGAGTGCTGTGGGAGTTGAGCTCTCTGGCAATGGGACAGAAGGGCTTTGGGGGTGCCCTGGAGTCTGTTTCAATTCTTAGTGACCCCCATGTGACAGAGCAGAACTCCTCAGTTGGGTTTTCTAGACCGTAATGTAGACAGGTGCAGATGGCCCAGTCTTTCTCCCATAGAGCCGCCAGATGGGCTCAAACTGCCAACCTTTCCATTAACGGCTTCATTATTGTGCCACCCACCGAGTAAAACCATTCGACTCATGGTGACTCCATGGGACGAAGTAGAACGGTCCTTGTGGTTTCTAAGGCTGCAAATCGTCCTGGAATCAGACGGTCCCATCTTTCTCCCACAGAGAAGCTGCTGGATTTGAACCACAGACCTTTAGGTTAGCAGTTCAACTTTACCACCAGGGCTTCTGGTGTTGGTCAAGGAGAAGAGGAGGCTTATATTGTCTCTGGAGAGCTCTGCAGTTCTCCCCCTGAGCTCTTAATGCAGATGGAGTGTTGATGGAAATCCCTGTCAGACCTTCAAGTAACCCTGAGCCAAGTCAGAGCTGAGCATCCCCCGTTTATAAGGGTGTCAATCGGTGTGAATCACTCCGAGGAAATTGCCCATCTTTTTCCTGAGAAACCACTGGTGGATTTGAACCCCACCATAGAGGCCTTTGAGCTAGCAGGGCACCTCCCTATGGACCGCACCACCAGAGTTCCCTGTGGCTTCTTAGAAAACAGAAACTGCCCCCCTGGGTCCCTGGGTCACAGGATGTGCTAACAGTTTGCACTTGGCAGTTAAGGGTCCCCGGGGTGGGAGGTGGTCATGGCCATGGCTCATTGACATCTCTTCCTTTCTCTTTCTCTCTCCCCCCGCCTGTTCCCCCCTTTCCTGTGGACAGCTGTCCGTACCTGGCCGTGAGGATCACGCCCGCGATCCCCGTGGTGGGTGGCATCCTCTTCTTCTTCGTCATCGGGACCCTCCTGCGCACCAGCTTCAGCGACCCGGGGGTCCTCCCGCGAGCCACACCTGACGAGGCCGCAGACCTGGAAAGGCAGATAGGTAACACGCAGAGCTGTGCTCAGTCACCTCCCACCAGCGCCCACGTGGTGAGGAGGGCAGGGGGGCCACCCTAGGGGGCAGGGCGCCCACGTGGTGAGGAGGGCAGGGGGGCCACCCTAGGGGGCAGGGCG